TTTGTGTGTGTGTGTGTGTGTGTGTTTGTGTGTGTGTGTGTGTGTGTTTGTGTGTGTGTGTGTGTGTTTGTGTGTGTGTGTGTGTGTGTGTATACAGCATATACTTTTTTGTTACAATGGTTCTGTAGTATAGTTTATAATTTTAGGCACTTAGAATCTTTGTGTTTCATATAATTTTTTTTTTAGTTCTATGAAGAATATCACTGGGTTTCTGATGGGGACTGCATGAATCTGCAGATTGCTTTTAGTAATATAGTAATTTTCATAATAATTGCCAGTGTATGAGCACCAATGGTCTTTATATTTTCTAGGATCTTTAAAAAAATTTTTTTTAGGACCTTTAAATTTTCTTTTCTTTTTTTTTTAATTTTATTTTTCTTTTTAGTTATATTTTGTTAACTCTGTGTCCCAGCTGTATCCTGCTCCCTCATTCCCTCCCCACCCCCACACTTCCTCCCTGGTCTCCTCCCTGCCCCTTTCCAAGTCCACTGATAGGGGAGGACCTCCTCCCCTTTCATTCGACCCTGTTTTATCAGGGAGTCTACTGCAGAAGGCATCTGAAAGACTCTACCTAGCAGTGTTTCAAAGCAGATACTAAGATTCATAACCAAACCTTCGGCAGAGTACAGGGAATCATATGAAAGAAGGGGAGTTAGTATGATGTGGAAAGGATAGGAGCTCCACAAGGACCAAATATATCTGGGCACAGGGGTCTTTTATGAGACTGACACTCAACCAAGGACCATGTATGGATATAACCTAGAACCTCTGCTCAGATGTAGCCCGTGGTAGCTCAGTAACCAATTGGTTTCCCATAGTAAGGGGAACAAGGACTATTTCTAACAGTAACTCAATGGCAGGCTCTTTGACCTCCCCACACTCCTAGGGAGGAGCAGTCCTGTTAGGCCACAGAGGAGGACTTTGCAGCCAGTCCTGAAGATACCTGATAAAACAGGGTCAGATGAAAGGGGAGAAGGTCCTCCCCTATCAGTGGATTTGGAAAGGGGCAGGGAAGAGATGAGGGAGGGAGGGTGGGATTGGGAAGGAATGAGGAAGTGGGATACAGCTGGGATGCAGTTAACAAAATGTAACTAGTAAGAAAAATAAATAAATAAAAAGAAAGTAGCTAATGCACGTGGAGAGCTAAGTTTCAATATTTATTGTATTTATGCTTTAGAAAATTGGGTCATTTCCTACTTGTCACCTGTATAGCTTATTTTTAAGTCCCTGTGAAGGAGCTCTCTCTCAGCTTCCCAGAGTTTCAATACAGGGTTTCTCTGATGTCTGACTGAGCCTTTGCTCACAGCTGTACTTTCCACATTATACGAAAGGGGTGCCTGAGTTTCAGTGGAAAAAACATGACCCTGTGAGATTGCTGAAGATTTAGGATTTTGGCAGACTGCCTCCCCCCTTCATAACAAAGGTATTTCACATCTTTGTTTAGGTTTATTCCCAGACATTTTAAAATGCTATTTTAAATGAGTTTTTTGTTTTGTTTTATTTTATTTATTTATTTGTTTGTTTGTTTCTTTATTTTTAATTTTAATTTTTTTTCTTGAAAAAAGTGAAAAAGATCTAAGGCTTTCCTCTGCCACCTCAGTCTCCTGGCTTTTCTACTTTTGCTGCTGTTGTTGGCTTTTTGTTTGTTTGTTTCTTTTTTTTTTTCTTTCTTCTGAAAGCACTGGCTTCACCTTGGCTGCAGGATTTGGATGCTGCTCTTCCTACCACTGGCTGTCTTTGTGGCAGATGGCTAAAACCCTCTGAGGACCTAAAGAGTTGCTGGGTCATGTTTTCAGTGAGACTCACAGAGGAACGGGAGGCATCAGAAGGCAGTTGGAGGACATATTGCTGTGCTTGGGGCATCCTGTGAGCAACAACCGTAAAACCCTGGTCACACAGGCATCGTGAACAATCATAGCAGGTTAGGAGGAAAACAGACAGGACTAGGTAACGCCATCTTACCCTCCCATAGCCATGTGCCACAAAGCTCTTCATGGACAGTCATTTGTGCTAGTTTCTACCAAGAGGCCTGCAGCCTGTCTTGCCCAGTAGCTTATGGTTTTTGACTACACAGGTAATAGGGAATTCCATTTCCTATCTGCTTGCACATTTGGATGAAGGAAGAGATAGAAGGAGATGGACGGATAGGGACAGGCAGGCTACAGGGCAGGTGTGGGTGCTGGAGGATTGAACTGTTATCACTTTAAGGGAAGAAATTCTTGCTTCAGGTGGGACAAGTCCAATGTTACCACAGATGTCCTGTGTCTCCTCTCCCAAGACATTAGGCTCTACATGTTCAGTGAGGATTCGTGAAAGCTGCTGGCATGTGGCCCTCTTGGGCCTTAGACTAGTGGGGAGATGGGAGCCAACTTGAGGTCTGTGTGTACACAAGATGTGTTCAGACCTTCTTCAGGGTGGAGTTCTGCTAGAATTGAGGAAGGGGCTGTAAGAGCGAATTAATTTCTCCCAGAAAAAAAAAATCACTCCAAGCACCCCAAGATAAAGGAAAAAAAAAATCTATTTAGTGCGTGGTCGACTAAGCTCAAGGAGCCTTTACCCTGAACACAAATATTCCATAAATTATATAGGTCTAGGGTATCACATTACATATGCTTTCATGTGTGAGTTGCTTTTTGGGTCCATGTTTCCAAGTCACATTTAAATTAATTAAACATTTTTACAGAGACACAAACTATAAGTTCTGGTCATTTTGGACATATGGGGGATTTAATTAATATTTTTTTTTCCTTCAGATCTAGGATGTTGGTGAGGCATGACTTTGATCATGACATTTGTGAAGCTGAGGCAAGAAGATTTTAACTTCAAGACAAAAATCTGCCACATAGTGAGACTCTGTCTTAGAACACCAAAACAAAGAAAGAGACAGACAAAGTGTGTCTATGGGGTGGAACTGACCTTTGAGGGCAGTTCTTAGGAGAAGCACAGCCTGGGTGTTCACCTTTCTTGAACTTTCCTAGCTTTCCTGGCTGGATCGAGGCCGGAGACCTGGGCTCTGTGCTGCGACAGGAAAGGCTCTTGGATAAAGAGCCCCTTGCCCCCAGTTGGGGAAGAGCAGGGCTGCGTCTTCCTTGTGAACATCTGCGTCTCCTTGTAGCAGTTAGGCTGTGTCGGCTCAGTAATTGCAGGGTTTATTTTAGAAACCTGTAATTGCAGGCACCTGAAGTTCTTTGTCCCTGAATTGTTGTCTGTGCGTGTTATGGGACGACAAGGCTCCCAGGGCATTATGTAAAGGATTGGAGGCCAGGAACCCTTTACTTACAGGTTACTAGATTTGTCCTCCATCCTTTTCTCCTTCCCTCCACTTTGCTTCTTTCTCAACACCTCACCCTTTCTTTTTCTTCCTCTTTCCATGTTCTCTTCCACCCCTCATCACACCTTAAGCTGTGTGAAGAGCAATGTAGAGGAAACAGGGTAGGGAATGAAAACAATTTCCCCCATTGCTTTTTTTTAGGGTCTCTAAATAGGACCCTATAAATTAGACTAACAAAACACAGGTGGAAACAACATATACACACACACACACACACACACATATATATATGTATGTACACATATGTATATTTATATAGATATATATGTATACATATGTATATTTATGTATATATATGCATATGTAAAGCAAGAATTAATCTAAGGATTGGCTCACATAATTGTGAAAGCTGAGAAGTTCACTTGCAAGTCCAAGTGGAAAGAAAGCATTTGGGGGCTGATGGTTTGTGTATCTGTCTGAGACTGAAGGCCTGAGCCGAGAGCAGGAAATGAAGATCTAGCGCACTAGGGAGTAAGCTGACCAAATCCTCCCTCAGGGACCTTTTCCACCTGGAATCACTGGGTTGGATGATACCTGATATGTTGAGGGGAGCGCTCAGCTTCCTTCAGCCCACCAGTTCAAAAATGTTAATTTCTTTCAGAAACCCCTGCACAGGCATACACTATAACTACAATGAAGCAAATACCTGGAAATCTCGTATCCCAGGCAACTACAGAAAAGGAAGAAGGAATCCTCAGGTGGTGTCAGGAGGAGGACAGATTGCAGGTCACGGACTAAAATTAAGGCCCAGTCCAAAAGAGGGCCAAAGCTTGATACGGCAGGGAACCTGGGGCTGGTAATACTGGGCCTAATGTTTGATGGACTTTGAGGACTCAGCAGTGTAGGTGTGAGCGGAGGCCCCTTTTTGAGACTGTCCCATGCTCTGCAGCAGCTCATCGCCTGCTTCTCTGAGGTATTTCCTCATGTTTCCTCCCTGGGCACTGGGACAGCTAGCAGAGGAGAAGAAGGCCCCTGTCCTCAGAGGAGTAGGGAGACGAGGAGGTGTGGGCCACCAGGACCTCTGAGGATGATTTTTGGAACTCTGAGGGGGTGTTGAGCTAGGCCTTGAGTGACAGGCAACGCTGAAATTTCGGCAAATGGGCAAGGCAGGAAGAGTGTGGCACATGCACCAGAGAGCGGAGGCAGTGTGGAGGCAGTGTGTGTTTTCTCCGTGCTCCTGTCTGTCTGGGAGTCTGGATTCGGAGGACCTCAAGGATGTTTCCATAAACAAATCTTTATTTGGAAGCCACGTATAGTTTAGGGACATCTAACGATTTGAGAATCCATTGTCGTCCAGACCAAAAAAAAAAAAAAAAAAAAAAAAAAAAAAGGATAAAGAAAAGAAAAGAGTAGTCTACGGCCATACCACCCTGAACGCACCTGATGGCGGCTGATCTGGGAAGAAAAGAGTAAGAAGTAGTTCACCTGTCCGGGAGAACATCTAAAATAAGTTTCAGGGCGCTGTGAATGAACATCTGTGACAGCGCAGACTACAGCAGAACACGGTCAGCAGCACTAGAATGCGGGAAGAGACCCAGCCCCTTGGACGTGTTTCGGAGGGGGCAAAGCGTATAAGAGGTGGGGGCCCTGCCGAAGATGGGTGCCCTTGTGCAGAGCGAGACATGGACTGTGGTTAGGCTCATGCTATGGCTGGAAGCCATGGGTTAAAGAGAATTGCAGAGTAGAGCTCAACCCGAAGGCTTCCGTGGGCACCCAGCGCGATGCCGAACTTTAGGTTGGGCTTGGAGCCCTGGGCATGCATCGGGAAAGGGAAGGGTGGCTACATGTGTAGGGATTATGCCCCTTAGATGCTCGTATTCTCCATTTGAATGGGTAACTGCAGGGTGTTTTAATGTTGCCTGGTCACCACCCCACTAATGCTGTCAGACCCCACAAAGATTCATGTGCTGGTCTGGGAGGTTGCGGAATCTTTGGGAAGCGCGGCCCACTACAGGAAGTGGTCAGGGGAGTGGGCCTTGACGGTTACAGACCAGCCTTGTTGGCCCCAGCCTCTGTTCCAGAATGTTCTCATTGCAGTGGACTCACCTGGTATCTTGCTTTCCCCACCACGAAGGACTAGATGTCTCAAACTGATAGCCAGGACACATTTTTCTGTCCCCCCCAGCTCCTTCTTGTCAAGCGTTTGTTCACAGGTGGGAGAATAATAACGAAAGCACCCGAGGACAAAGGCTTTGTTTTACTCTCAGTAGGTAACCGGCCAAATACTTGGGGGAGGAGGGAGCGGGGCGAGAGAGGCCTGCTGCTCTTCTGAAATTTGCCGCTAGGTGGCACTGTTCTACTTTCTGGTGTCTTCAAGGCCATGAGAGTTTCTTTCCTTTTACTGATTCCTCCTGAGTACCTGGGGAAAGACCAGGACAGGAAAGTTTCAGATTGGCAGAGCAACAGGGTCTCTTGGACCTTTTCTTTGCAAATTCTGCTCCATATGTGTCTTCCATTTTTTATTTGTTCCTTCAACATCCAAGTATCAAGCAGTGTGGAACCGCCATCACACAGATCCCAGGGCTCATAAAACATTTCTTTCACCAGGGCGTTTTGTACAGTTTTAAAAGACAATATTTTGAAGCTTAAAAAAAAAAAATAAAAGAGAAAATGAGCCACTTATTAACTGGCTTTCCTCAACACTCAGAGGAAACCCCGTAGATACCTGCCTCAAATAAACCAATTGCATTTCTAGGGGCTGAAGGCAGAACAAAGGAAATGGCCACAGTCTAAACCCAGCAAGCTCTTTCTCAAGTCTTTGGAGACCTGGGGCAAATGCCTGGGCTAGCCATCCTGTAGAATCCACTATCGCTCTTAAACACTCCGTGCCACTAGGACCTAGGTGGGAGGGTCTGAGAGTCAAGATACAGTTGAGGAACATGGGCTCCTATGTTTGTAAAACACACAGGCAGGATGTGGGAGCTAAGGGTAGGGTATGGCAGTACTCAGTGCCATGGGAAGAACTGTGAAGTGGGAGGGACCTCATTCCCTCATAGGCCTTGCTTGATCGACCTTCAACCTTCAACTTTCTCATTGCTGTGGACACCAGTGAATTTTGCCAGCTTCAGAATGCTTAAAATTCTCATGGTGGTTTCTCACCTCATAACCAGGAATTTGATAATGCATGGCTTAGACGTGCGTATAGGTTAGTTTATTTATGATGGCACCTGGCCTCTATGGGCCCGTGAACTTGATGGGAATTTTATCTTGGCTGTAAACAGTGTAAGGGGAAAGACAGCCATGAGTACTGGGTAGATATCATTCAGAACTCAGGTGACAGACACTAAATGTGGTGGAGAAACACAGAACAATTGCATGTGTAGTAGTGAGGGCCTGGAATGATAAGTGGGCCGGGGAACAGGGGATGGTGCAGATGTATGGATGGATGAGGCTTAGGAAGGTGTGTAGTTTTTTTTTGGTGGTGGTGGGGTGATTGGGTAATAGTGGGTGTTTCTTCCTTGCTCTGTGGTTCACCTTGATGCACCCTCAGCTGTGAACCTCAGTGGCCACGTGGACTCCACAATGCTTCAGCTGGACCTGGCAGGTGCCCTAATGACTGGTGGACCAAGTGGTTCAGGAAAAGAAGAGCATGTCGTGGTGATGGTGACCCAGACTGACCCAACGGGCAGCAGGCGGCGGCGACAGCAGGTTATACTTCCATGTTATTTGAAAGGAATTGTAAAATCTCACTGCATCTCATTATAAACTGAGTTTCCTATTAAACGGATTTGATGAAAGCCAAAAAGGCAGCAATTCCATTATTAGTGAAGCCATTGATGCTTATCTTTCTCTTTGTCACTGAAATTCTTATTCCATGCCATTACAGTCAAGTCCCACTTGCAAGTTCTTCATGCAGTAAAATAAATTTCTTGGCTTATTCAGGGAAACATTATGGACTTTAGCAGTTTTTGTTGTAAGTGCAAGTCAGTTTGAGGCTCACCTGACGTCACAGAGCACAGGTGGACACCACAGCTGCCTTGTGCTTTTGCAATTGCCAACCACGTAGGTTCCTGAGCCCTGTGTTTGTGGGCCTTGTGTCGAGCTGTGCCTTCAGCTCCCATTCTGCAAGATGCACCTGTGTGCAGGAGGCAAGCCAGCAGCAATCAGAGCCTAGGCATCAAAGGCTTGACGCTTCTCCATGAGCCTCACCTCTCCCCATGTCATGGTGTCAGTGATTCCACTGGACACCCACGGGAACTCCTGCAGGGAGATACGTTCTGTGCTCAGGAGTTCCCCTTTATATAACCAACCATTAGAAGGAAACCCTGTTTGTGAGCAAGGTAGTGCCCCTTACATTTTCCTGCTCTGTCAATCACGGTCCACAGGGCAAAAGTCTAATTATAAGCAAGGATGGTAATTGTCAATAACTGGTATAAACCAACATTCTAAACTGCAGAATGATCTTAAGACAGAAACTCAGTTGCCACTCAAGGAGCTCATGCTGCAGTAGTGAACAGGGGGTGGAGCACACGTGTTTGCCTTGTGCCTTTGTTTTTTTATGCCAAAGACTATGGGTATATCCTGATGCCTTTAACATTATTTTACAGTTAAAAGTTTTAGTTGGCACAGTGTGTATGTATGGCACAATATGATAGTGTAGTAGTTTGACACTTGTATACAATGTATAATGATCACATCAGAGCAGTTGACATTGTTACCTTCTGAAACCTTCACCATCTCTGTGTCAGCAGGCTGCACATTCTTCAAGTTAGTTTTACCTCACAGGTTGTTGATTTTAGTTTTTCTGCTATGTTATAGATGACTAGAAGTAGGGTCTATTGTCTAGGTGCCTTCTCTACTATGCATATTTTTTTAATCCAGATAAAATGAGTTGTATCGCTTCTCCTTGCTCTTCCTAGAAGGCTCTTTGTAACATGCTGGCACTTTGCAAATGCCCACATACAAATCCATCTCCAGTAACACAGAGAACATTTCCTCCAAATACTATTTTTGCAAATGCCCAAGTCTTTTAAGATGATTTCTGTTTTCTCACATATGAGGTTCTCTACAGAGACCTATTTTAGAGCTCTATGTTCAGTTTCTTTCTATCAGAGGGAGAAACTCCTGTCCTCCCACTGGAAGTCTTCTCTCTGGTCCTCCAGCTGCCCTCTGCTGTGCTGGCTCAGAGAAGGTTCGTCTGCAGTAGCAGCTGTTCCAGCGTAGCTCTGTGGGAGGAAACTGCTGCCACAGAGGGTTCTGGGGTATCTTGGGGGCAGGTGTGTGCCTCGTGGCTGTAAGCAGGAAGCAATTCCAAAGAGGCATTTTTTTGTAAGTTGCCTCAAAGGGCTAAAAGATTGTCTAAGACTCAAATAATTCCAATAATTTGTAGTGATTTATTTTACACATAAATCAGTATTGTTGGCCATCCTCACTCACAAGTTCTATATTCAAGAATTAGATCAACTGTCATTTTAGAATATTTAGAATACACATAAAAAAATGTGTATGTCCTGAATATGCACCCTTATGTTACATGGTATTTATTCCCAAGACTTATTGCAATTTTACATTTTGACTCCTACAGGTCACTCACAATTGGACTGTCCTTTTAAATCCAAGGAGCGAGCATGTGGTGGTGAGCAGAAACTTTGAGATAGTGAGCAGGTGGGTTTTTTGGTTTGGGGACAAGTTTTCTGGGTAAGGTTTACCGTCTTCAGGCTGTCTTCTGCAGACATACCAGAGTATCCAAGCCTGAATGGAAGACTACCTGAACTACTCCTGAGAAGTTTATGTATCTACTGTTCTGGGGGCTGAGAAGTCTGAGAGTGTAATGCCAGCATCATCTTGGCATGCAATCTCTAATACACTGGGATGATATTAGGCTTCTTCTGTTTTTTAATATAACAAAAAGCATCCTATCTCCAACCTGCATTCTTAATTACTCCCAGTCAGTTAGGGTGCATACTCTTGAGGGCTGGAGCACCACACATATGTATTTGGAACTTAAGAGAATGGGAATTTGACATCTAGCTGTTGACAGCCTTAGCCTCTTGGATTACAAATGTTATCTTGTTTTCTCTTCCCTATATGTCTGTGTCCTAGTATTCTCTGAAGGACATAAGTCCCACTGAATTAGGCCTACCCTCATGATTTTATTTCATCATTATGACTTCCTTAAGAACTATCTCTAAATAATTATATTCTGAGGTATGCAGAGTTAGAAGTTCAACATATGAACTTGGGGTACTAATGGACACTACTAGGCTCACCAAAGTTATTGAGCAACTGTTTCTACATGTCATACTTGATTTTCCTCAGGCTTCCCTGTAACGTGGGTTTTTCTCTCATCCCCAAGCTCCCGGAATAATCACTCATGAGATTCAAAGTATATCTAGTACCTTGGCCATATAGCAAGGCTCTTCTCTGACTGGCTCATAACTTAAAATAACCCATTTATATTAATCTACATTCTACCATGTGGCTGGTTACCTCTGCTCAGGTATCATGTGTCTGTTCCCTTGACATCTTCTCAGACAACTCTCCCATGCCTGTCTATATTCCAGAATCCTTTCTGCCTGCCAGATGTCCCACCTTCTATTCTACCCTTTCCTATAGACCATAGGCTTCTTAATCGATAGGCCATGCATCTATACAAATATACAAGATATTTTCTCTACACTTCCCATTTTAGGTGCTGTTTAACACTACTGGGGACCAAAGGTTAAGTAGCTAGTGATGCTCTAAATTAGCAAATGAAGTGCTCCACTCTGTTGATGATGATGAAGAAAATGAATGGCTAAACCTATTTCCACTGTGCAGGCTAACTGTTGAATTGCCACTTGTAAAAAGGCTGAAGCACTCCTGTTGAGTGGTCTAGAAAGACTGTGCCTTGTGCCACAGGCTTGTACTCAGGGCTTTTCTGTCTGTGCATTGGGCTGAATCACTGTGGAATGTCTTATGCTGTGACTCTGGTCATGTTGATGTGCTAGAAATGGTAACTGAGGAAGTACACTAATTATTCACTTTGTGTTCTTGACCAACCTTATAGTCTTTAATTTATTTTCCAGGGAGACTGTTTCCATCAGCGTCCACGCTTCCCTCCAACAGACCCACCTTGTTCCTCTCTTGCTGGCCCATCAGTTCCTTGGGGCAAGTGTTGAAGCACAAGTGACGATTGCAGTGGCCATCCTCACGGGGGTTTATACTCTGATCATATTTGAGGTAACTACACATCTGCTTCCCATGGTCTACCAGTGCTCATGGTCAGGACAGTTTTTTGGATGCTTTGATAGACTCGGTTTTATTTAGTCAAATTGGAAAGATGTAATTCCTAAGGATTAGAATGTCCCTCTTTCTAGGCAGAAAAATCAACTGTCCCCAAATAGTTGCTGAATCATGGGCACTGACAAAAACAAATGGGGGTATGACATCACCAGAAAAGCTTAGTGAGATGACTGTAAGTTGTCATTTATGTATTTTGTAATTGAATTTTTTCTTTTCTTTTTCTTTTTTTAAATTAAATTTAAAAAAATTTACATTAGTTACATTTTATTTGCTTTGTATCCTAGCTGTAGCCCCCTCATTCATTCCCTCACAATTCCAACCCTCCCTCTCTCATCTCCTCCCTGCCCCTATCTAAGTCCACTGATAGGGGAGGTCCTTCTCCCTTTCCATCTGACCCTAGCTTATCAGGTCTCATCAGGACTGGCAGCATTGTCCTTCTCTATGGCCTGGCAAGGCTGCTCCTCCCTCAGGGAGGGGTGGTCAAAGAGCCAGCCACTGATTTTATGTCAGAGACAGTTCCTGTTCCCCTTACTAGGGTACCCACTTGGATACTGAGCTGCCATGGGCTACATCTGAGCAGGGGTTCTAGGTTATGTACACGAATGGTCTTTGGTTGGAGTATCAGTCCCAGAAAAGACTCCTGTGCCCAGATATTTTGGTTCTGTTGTTCTCCTTGTGGAGCTCCTGTCCTCTTCAGGTCTTACTAACCCCCCCTTCTTTCGTAAGACTCCCTACACTCTGCTCAAAGTTTGGTTATGGGTCTCAGAATCTGCTTTGATACATTGCTAGGTAGAGTCTGTCAGAGGCCCTCTGTGGTAGGCTCCTGTCCTATTTCTTGTTTTCTCCTTCTTCCAATGTCCATCCCATTTGTCTTTCTAAGTGAGGATTGATCATCTTACCCAGCATCCTCCTTCTTGTTTATCTTCTTTAGGTGTACAGATTTTAGTATGTTTATCTTATCTTATAGGTCTAGTATCCACTTATAAGTGAGTATATACTGTGTGTGTCTTTCTGCTTCTGGGATATCTCACTCAGGATAATCTTTTCTAGATCCTACCATTTGCTTGCAAATTTCATGATTTCTTTGTTTTTAATTGCTGAGTAGCATTCATTGTGTAAATGTACCACAATTTTGGTATCCATTGTTCAGTTGAGGGACATCTGGGTTGTTTCCAGGTTCTGGCTATTATGAGTAAAGCTGCTATGAACATGGTTGAACAAATGTCCTTATTGTATACTTGAGCATATTTTGGATATATGCCTAGGAGTGGATCTTGAGGAAGCACTATTCGTAATTGTCTGGGAAAGAGCCAGGTTGATTTCCAAAGTGGTTGTACAAGTTTACATTCCCACCAGCAGTGGAGCAGGGTAACCCTTTCTCAACCACCTCTCCAGCATGTGTTGTCACTTGAAATTTTATCTTAGCCATTCTGATGGGTGTAAGGTGAAATCTCAGGGTTATTTTGATTTGCATCTCCCATGACTAAGGACACTGAGCATTTCTTTAAGTGTTTCTCTGCCATTCCATATTCATCTACAGAGAGTTCTCTTTTTAGCTCGGTACCCCATTTTTTAATTGGATTGCTTGATTTATTGCTTTTTAATTTCTTTAGTTCTTTATATATTCTGGATATTAGCCCTCTGTCAGATACAAGGTTGGTGAAGATCCTTTCCCAGTCTGTAATTGAATTTTTAATGTTGACTTCTGAGTACTTATATATCTCAAATATATAAGTACTTTACTTTGCTGTACACTTGGCAAATATTTTCTTTTAGTGTGGCTTATAAAGTTTGTGTGTTCTTAGAGACTGTGATTTTAGTATTAAGCCTAACAACTCATTGCTCAGCTGTAGTTCCCTAAAATATTTAAAAGTTTAGCTTTGAGCTGGTTCTTGTATCTCTGTGAATCATAGACTGAGGTTCATCCATGGATGTCCAATTACTCTAGCACCATTTATTGAGAAAACGTTCTCACCTCTTCTAAATTGCTTCTGTTCCTGCATAATTTTTTAAGTGTTTGGAGGGCTGAGGAGATGGCTCAATGGTTGAGCGTACTTGTTGTTGCAGAGGACCTGGGTTAATTCCCAAAATTCACATGGAGGCTCACAACTGTCTATCACTCCAGTTCCAAGTGATTGGATCCCTTCTTTTTGCCTCCCTCGGCCCAGGCATACACATGATGCACAGAAATACATGGGAGTAAAATAACCATATGCATAAAATAAATGCATCTAAAAAGAATTTAAAAGGCAATTGGAACTTTTGTGGGGCATATTTCTGGGTTTCCTGTTTGGCACATGGGTTAAGTGCCCATTCATGACCTTCTCACAGGGTCTTGATTATGGCAGGTGTGTCCTGTTTTCACACTGGAGGGTATATATCTCTCGCTTGCTATATTTCCCCAAGGTTGTTCCATACAGTGGTCATTCTTGTTCCATATACACTTTATGTCCTCTTAAAGTCTATAAACATGGTTCATTTCTTGATTTATTTTGGCTTTTGTTTAAAAAAATCATTGTACAGTCCATATGCAGTTTTTGCTAAGTCTTCAAATCTCCTTCCCTTTGGAGCAATTGAAAATAGCATTACACTTTTCTTTTGTCCAGATGTTCACTGTAAACACACGTGTACGGCTTCCTGGGTTAGTGTTGTACACTGTTATTTTCCTGATCTCATGGGGAGTATTTTTAGGAGATCACATAGCTTCCACCATCAGCAGGACACCAGCTCTTTTATATTGTAGAAGCTCTTATGAGATTGGAGAAATCCCTTTCTTTTCCAGTTGTACTGAGAATTTCTTCCAGAACTGGGTTTTGTGTTTTGTGTATACTTCTCTGCATCAGTCCCTGTGATCATTTGATTTGTTTGCAGTAACTAACCACTGTGTTAGACTGATTTGTGTAAGGGTGTACATTGGGGGCATTCTTATATCTGTAACAACTGTTTTTCTAAGTGACTGTGATTCATATCTTGTTAGCATTTCTTTAGCTTCATCCTGCAGATTTTGATCTTTGAATTTTAGTTTCATTTATTTTTCTCTTTAAAAATTTTCAACTTATTTATTTATTTATTTATTTATTTATTTATTTATTTATTTTTGGTGTGTGTGTGTGTGTGTGTGTGTGTGTGTGTGTGTATGTGTGAAGACAGAGTATTAATATATTGGCCAGGCTGGCCTTAAATGCTGGAGCTCAAGTGATCCTCTGGTCTCAGTCTCCTTGAGCACCTGGTGCTATAAATATATGCTACCATGCCTGGCTTAGATTTATGTTGTTTAATTTGTAAACTTCAGTATTTTTTTCTGTTGTCTTTCAGTTATATAATTAGAGCTTGATTCCTGTATGGTCAGAGAACTTACTATACAGTCAGTGTAAATTTATTAATTTTTTTATGGTTCAAGTTTTTTTTTAATTTTTTATTTAACTTTTATTAATTACACTTTATTCATTTTGTATCCCTCAAGGTTTTTTTTTTATCTGACTTGCTTTGTATTTTGTAGACTGAAAAAATATAAAATTTATTATGTTACTAGTGTAACTTGCAAATGAAAATGATATATATATAACAACTTGTGAAATACAAACCCTTCCCTTGGCTGGTTTGGTCTTAGGTAAAGAAGGAAAAAAAAATTGGAGACATATTAGAGCAGTTGTGTTTTGATTTGTGCCTCTATAACTTCTGTGCATCCAGAATTTTGTAGAGTTCCTCAAGAGGTGATAGGTCCCCCTTTGTAGTTTTCCTGGGTTGCTCTGGTTCTTTCCCCAAGGTCTCTGAGCTCTGTAGACAGGTAGCTCAGACTACATTGCCGCTGTCTGATCCCAGTGTCCGGGGGTGAACCAACTCACTCACTCACTCTCCCTGCACACTGCTTCTTGGATTACCGTTACTGCTCTTTGTAGCTGTGATCTGTTTCCTGGTCTTTCCTTAGCTATTCTTTGTGGGAGATCCCTTATTATTCCTGTTTATCAGTGTTGGGGCCAGTGCCTTGAACAGAATCTAGCATGGAACTAGGTGTTGAGTTCTGAGCTCAGGTAACCTGATCCCTGAGCAATGCCCACACCATTTTTTTTTTGGTGCCACTGACCTACATCTAATTGAGTAGGAGACAAATGCACATCCAAGGTTCCCAGAGGTCTTTAATATCTGGATAGGATGAAGCCACTGCAGGCATCCCTTGGATTATTTATAGCTCTGATCCTATAGTGGAAGCAGAACTTATTGGTACTCCCTCAGTATTATAGTTCTTATCCTTGTAAAGTTGTCCTCACCGAAAGTATGAAAGAATGAAGTTGGAGCAACCCTCTCACACTTTGATCTATAACTGGGTCTTGGCCTTGGAGAATTTCCCAGTGTAGCATACTAAAAATTCTACCACAGCTAAGGTGTTCAGATGGAAGAAAATCACATTAAAAAGTCTTAGACAGTCTTAATGAAAAAGAGTTCACAGCATAAAGGAGATAATGTGTTTCCCAGACATCCACCTTGGGTTCCTTTCTGCTGGAAACACAAAGGCTCTTTCCTTTACCCCCTTATCAAACAGAGGCAGAGTCGTGCAGCCTCTGTGTGAGGCCAGGCTTCACTGCTCAGGTCTTTTTATATTTGGCTTATGCATTTATGTAGCACTTGGTTTAAAAGCTAGGTATGACCTTATGCACCAGCCCAGTGCCCTGGGTCTTCTTAACCTTATTCTATCTGTGCTGTAACCAATCTCCAGGCACACTCAGCCTGCGTATCTTTACTTCAGCCCAGCTTGCTAGGTCTGTCTGCCTGACCTACCACACCTGTATCTTTCACAATCCTTAGACTTATCCCAGGTCCCAACATCAAGTACCCTGGCCTGGTCTGGGGAGCACTGCCTATACTGTCCTCAACACTTGTGCCAAGACTGATGTCCTGTACACATCTTAATCCATGTGTCCTCTTGACTTTATTGCAGC